ATAATATTAAATATTAAATTCTTATTAAAATTGCTCTATATTTCTTATTATAGGAGATAGTTTTTATTTGAGAAAAATATCGTACCTCGATCTCTCATTGCGGATCTATTTGCAAATCACTGTGTGAGCACATTTTATATTAGAAAATTATCGAATCATGACGAATACAATTTGTTGCCGGTATAAAATTAAAGCATTGAACTAACGAAATGCTGTGAAATTTCTTCTTTTTACATACTGTCTCGCAATCGTGTATAACTCACGCGATTCATTATATCGTCGATCTAGTCAGGCGATCTCTGGAGACACTCTCTCGATAGGAAGCATGAAAAAAAAACCCCGGTTGAGTAATTTAAGAGAAGAAAAAAAATAGCGTTCTTATGTAAGTTAAGTATTCACACCAAAGAGAGATCATTGTGCATGACGGTGCACATAGGTAAACCGATTACATCTTGTCTTCTGTGTAACATTTAACGTTCAGACGCCAGATGGTGAAAGGATCTCCCTCGCTCGAGGATCTATTTAAATCGCGAGTCTAATGGGATTTATGTATTAGATAGATCTACGCGTTAATTGTCTTGGCAACGATCACTGCTGAAATCGATGGTAAACACGATAAATAACTAAAGGAAATTTTGCTTTGCGCCGAGAAATCAGCGCGATCTACCGATATAAAGTCTGCACAAAATAAATATTTTCTGTTGCGAATAGATTAGATATATTCTATCGACCTTCGTGAGAAAGTTATAAACGGGCTCTTACTTTTATAGCGAATCGATTGCTAATGGTAAAAAATGAAGGACGTTTTATAAGGCTATTGAAAGTAATACAATATTATCGATTATTTCACAATTTTTATAGCAATTGTTATAAATATAAATATAATAAATATATACATTTTTATAAAATATATCTTGCAATTTATAAGCATGATTTATATTAATTCATAATTTATACCAATTTATAAAATTTTTAGAAGAACAAAAAAAGAAGTCCTCGGATTTAGAAGGTTCAGAGACTTCGTATTTCGGGACGTTTGCGGCTCATAAAAATTCCTTCGGCACTTATAATCCTACCGTTTACTATTCGACAAATCCGTTGTCGTATTTTCCGCCTTCGTCAAATTTCCCAACTTCCACGTAAGTCGAAAAAAAAAAAAAATAATGCGATCTTACAAATAGTAATAAAACAATTCGATTGCAATGTCTACTTTTAATATTTGTTCAACCTTTCCTTTTATCCAAAACAGCGATAATATTCATCAACAAATTAAGTGCGGCGATACTTTTTCCCAAACTTGTCAACACTCGCGGTATCGAAGCTACGACGGTTCCTGCAATAATCTTCAAAATCCCACGTGGGGCCTGGCCAATACAAGATATGGAAGACTCGTACATTCACGATACGGTGATGGTGAGAATAATCGTATTTTATTTTAATATGTATAAGGTGACTGATGTGCAAATATGCTTCTTTTTAATTATTGATAATATCGATTGCAAAAATACATAACATGATTTGTGTATCTCTAAATTCAAAAGAGATATTTAAGTGATTTTTTTTCGCTCACACAAACTCATCTTTGTTCTATGAAAAAAATTCAATAAATCTAAATAATATAAAAAAATATAAAAATTTAATAACATAAAAAATTAAATTGTTTTATAGAAAGAGCCTGAAAGTTTGCAACAAGAAGAGATTTGTGATTTGTTGATTACTTTTTCGAGAGTGATATTGTAATTGTCGATAGGAAAGGATATACTACTGCTTTGCATTTTATAATCTTATCGGAAATAAGAATGATAATTGTGATAATGAAAAAAAGTACATTATAGCTGGTAATTTTTTAAAACTTTTAACCGATAGTAAGAAGAAAGGTTTGCACTAGACTCTTGTGACATCAAATAACGTCGATTCTCATTCGCTACACAATACTCTAATTTTAAATTTATCACGGTTGATTTGGTTTTGCAAACGGTACAAATGATTACTCTAAGTGTGAACAAAAAAATATTGACATTTACTCATTCGTGATCTTTTCTCACATTTGGACGAAGTGCCGTAACCGGAACATGATATAAAAATGCGATTGCGTATGGCAGTTTAACTCAATCGGAAAAAGCGGACCTTGTAATAGTGTTTTACATATATCTAAGAAAGTCTTTTAAAAATGCTGAAATATATATCAGAAAAGAATGAGTTCCTAAAAGAAAATTTTCTATTTTTATTCTCAATTTATATTCCTACTTTTATAACATATATTTAATTATTTCTAATTTTTTTTGCAACGCAGCAAGAAATTTTAATTATTACTTTGTATCAAAATTATAATTTTGAAAACCGCAGTGCGTCAACAAGACCAAAATTTTTTAAAAGATTTTCTTATTGTTAAATATATATGTAAAAAATTACTACAAGATTTGATTTTTCTGACTGAATTAAAAATTACTATATTGCAATCGCATTTTTATATCATGCAAAATTTATTAAGTAATATTTGTATTTACGTCAAAATTTATCTCGACGAGATCTATTGGTTAATACTTAATAAATTTTGCGCATTGAACTATAACGTGACGTAACTCTAAAACTGGTTTGAACTAAATTTCTTTTTAAACTTATACGGAACGAGTAAACTTTCTAGGATCTCCGTAAAAACGTGCGAAAATTATACAAATACTTTCTAAAGTTTGGTCATCGCGCCAATTAATACGATCGCCATATCTTTCATATGGACAAGATTGACGCAATATTTTCATCGAAAGTTTTCTCAAAATTTATTTAACGCAGGAATTCGAGCACCAACGACTTCGATCACCGGTGCAGATCTGCCATTCGCTCGAACCGTCAGTTTTACAATGTTCCCTAACGCCAAAATCGATGACGTGGTATGGACCTTGGTAGCGATGCAATACGGACAGATTATGACGCACGACATGGGCTTGATTGACGGCACCACTCAATCAAGTACGTATCGCGCTCTTTTTTTAGGATACAAAGAATATGGAAAAGTTACGCCATTGTAACAGCAAAGTATCGAGAATAATTAGTCTTTGTTAATTTATTTATTCCTTTCTTTCTGCAGAATCACACCGTACGCGATGTTGTACGTTCGACGGTCAGCTGGCACCGGGCTGGACGACGTTACCCAAGTGCTTCCCGATACTTATACCCGACGACGACCCAGTGTACGACAAGACCCCCATGCAATGCATGAACTTCGTCCGCAGTACGACCGACCTTGATCGTGGCTGTTCGTCTTCGTACAAGCCGGCAGAACAGGTTCTACACTTGCATCTCGTCCATTTATTTACGGTTACATCATGCTCATTCGCATGCAGTAGACGAGGAAATTAAAGAAAACTAGAATACGACCGTTAATTAAATATCCTTGTGTTATGCGATACGAACTTGGCATTCTTTCTTAGGCATTTATCTATTTTTATCCGCGTTCGGAATATTTCTAAACTATTCTCTCCTAAATCCTATATATTCTATCTCTATTTATATCTATCTCTATCGTAGCGTTTATAAAAAAATGCAAATACAGGACTTTGCTGTACTTGCGCATCATATGCGATTGATCACACACAATTGATGAATTAAAAAACGCCCAAAAATATAATACTACAAAGAGAACGGTTCTTAACGGTGACATTTTTTTGATATTTAAAAGAAGTCAGATTGTGGAATTCTTTTAGATGTCAATTATATGATGTCTTTCTTTCCTCTAAAATCGACGCATTGGAGGACTTATTGATATCATAATATTATCATTTTGATGGTGTTTTCGGAAGTCCGACTCTTAAACTTGAGTACTTTATGAATTTCTTTTGATAACATATTGCTCACTGGGAAGTGATTAAAATATTTGATAAATGATAAGTGATTTAATATATAATTACAAACATTTGCGAATATTTAAAGATTTTTTTAATACAGGAAAATTAATTTATTCGCTTAATTTATTTGCTCATATATATACAATGTTTTCCAGTTGAATACCGTCACTCACTATTTGGACCTTTCCATCGTCTACGGGTCCAGCGACGTGGTCGCGGCTAGTTTGCGAGCCGGTTTCGGCGGACGATTAAATATCGAATTGAAAAATAACAGGGAATTTCCACCACCGGCGTCTAATAAATCGGCCACCTGCGACACGATATACGATTTCGAGCCATGCTACGCTACCGGTGAGAATAATTTGTGAAACATTTGCGTGCGCAAATCGCGTGCAATTTGATTGACGAAAGACCTATTTCTTCGCGACACGTTCGATTTTTACCCAGCGAATGTACCGAGAAATTCGCATTACCTTTGGGAAAAAATCAAATAAAAGTGTAGCAACTGGTTTTTTGTTTTAGGTGATTCGCGTGCCAATCAAAACCCGCAACTGACAATTCTACAAATTATATTGCTCAGAGAGCACAATCGCGTTGCCGATTATCTGGCGCAATTGAATCCTTCCTGGAGCGATGAAACGATATTTCAAGAAACACGTCGAATCGTGATCGCCGAACATCAAAATATTGCATATTATGAGTGGCTGCCGATTTTCTTAGGTATAATCTATTCTTTTTTTTGTAATCTATTTATTGAATTAAATAAATTTTTTTGAGAGATTAAAATAAATCTCGCTTATTTCAAAAGTAATGCAAAAATCTGACTTAGAAAAATATTACATGTTTTATTTCTTTTTCGATACTATTCGCTATTTTATTATTTATTGTAATTTATTATTTATTGTAATTTATTATTTATTCATTATATATTTGTTATTCATTGATATCATACATTTAGATCGTAATAATTAATATTGCAGGTACTGCACAAGTCTATGAGAACAAAATCGTGTACGATACCAAGGATTACGTAAATGATTACGACGAAACAGTCATTGCTAACGTTCTGAACGAGCACGCAAATGCAGCTAATAGATATTTCCATACGAATATTGCTGGCAATCTTAAGTAGGTATTTAATAAGTTTTATTAACGCGCGTTATCTCAAAATTATATTTAATAAAAATTTGTCATTAAACATTTAAATTACGTTAATTATATGCAAATTATGATAGTATAATACAATTTATTTAATTTTATGAATCAAATTTTGAATTAAAGATAAACTTCATTTTTTATTTATCCTTATCTTTTGTGCGATCGAGCATTGCCAATGACAGTTGCACGTTAGTAACATGAAATTGAAATTAATTGAACAAATATGAAAATGATAAAATATTCGTGATATAAATTTATTGTAAACATAAGGATCGAAATAACAAATTTTATTCGATAGCTTAGTGACGGAAGGTCGACAATATTCCCCCTTCGCTAGTCTAAGATTGAGCGATCACTTCAATAGACCTGGTATCATAGAAAAAGGCAACAATCTGGACGATTTGACGAGAGGTTTGGCCTATCAACCACAAAGTAATACCGATGTATTTTTCGATAAAGAGGTACTCATAAAATCAGAGATAGAATCAGTGATAAAAAAAAAAAAACGATAATTAAAAATGCGACTCACAAGATGATAAATATGAGAAGGAAATATTCCGATTAATAAAATGCTATTCTTTTGTTAATAATAATAATCTTGTTTACAGATCACGCAATTCTTTTTCCGAAGGGGAAGAATTTTCGGATCTGACTTGCGAGCGATAGATATACAAAGGGATCGCGATCACGGACTCGCTTCTTACAACGATTATCGCGAATATTGCGGATTATCACGAGCGAAAATTTTTGACGATTTTGCCGATCTTATACCTCTTTCGGTAAGTAAAACATACATCTTTTGATAATCAATATAAAATGTTCCGTTCTAATTTTTTAGGATATACAAAAACTTTCGTTATTGTACGCTAGTCCGGATGATATCGAGTTGACTGTCGGCGGATCTTTGGAAAGGCACGTAAGCGGAACGTTGGTGGGTCCAACGTTCCTGTGCATCATGTTGAGACAGTTTCAACAAACGCGAATTGGTGATCGTTACTGGTTCGAGACAGGCGATCCGAAACTAGCATTTACATTAGGTACGTTAATAGAGCAAAATGAATTACAATAACAAATACTCTAATAAGATATCAATTATTGCATAAAGACTAAATTAAATAATATAAATTAATAATTTTGTGCGCGTACAAAAATTACAAACATTATTGTCTTTATATTATAGAACAATTAAACGAGTTACGTAAGTCAAGTATATCGCGACTGCTCTGCGACAATGGAGACAACATCCAGAATATGCAAAGATTAGGATTCGCCAAAGTCTCCGAGTTGTAAGTTTAATTGATTATTTTATTTGATTTTTACCGTTTAATTTGAATTAACTTTATGCAACAATCTCGCTACCCGATATAGATAAATTTCTTCAATAGAGATAAATTTCAGGAATCCACTTCTGAGATGCGATGATCTCCCGCAAATAGACCTTTCTTTTTGGAAGGATTATAGTTTGGAGACTCAGGCATATCAAAGCATTACACCGCTGTATAAAAGGAAATGAGTAAATTTACACAAGCTGAATATATTTTTGGTTCTAATTAATTATGTTACAAAGATACCAAAAAATTTATGTTTACTTGCGCGAATAAAAATAGAGATCAAGTTTGATTCAAATTGCAATGCTTCGAATATTTGAGATATTTAAAACAACTTTTTAAAATTGATAACTAGTCGCCTGAAATGATTAATCGCTAAATATAAAATCTGCTCTCTCAAAATTTATTGAAATTTGAAGCGTGTTCTTGGAATATATATAATATCTCTATCATACAAAATTTCTCTTTTTCTTAATTCATTTTATTTTTTATTTTTAAACATATCTTTAAACATGTTTTCGCGAGGTGAACCGAGTCCTTTCACAGAAGCCTGATACTTGGGAAATTGTTTTATTCTCATTTTTTATAATACAAGATCTTAGAGTGTCATTTGCATATTTATAATAAACTGCAGAATCAACTGCCAGAAATTTTAAATCTTGTACAGATAATGTTCTTAATTGTATTCACTGGTATAATATGTAGTAAGTTAGTAAACTTTTATAGGATAAATAAAAATCTGATTTTTTATATACATAAAAATATAATTTTTATAGCAGTTTCGCGCTAGGACGCGAATTCCAGCTTAGAGGCATCTAAGATAGTCGCAGTAATAATAGCACCGTAGGACGTATACGTGGACGTAAATTCCAGCTTAGAGGCATCTAATTGTAAGACAGTCGCAGTCATAATAGCACCGTAGGGCGTATACATGGACGTATAATATATAGGTCGCGCGATCTCTACATTTCTTGTAGTTAGAACGCATGAAAAAATAGAAAGTTGTTATGCAATTTGCTTTTTTCTAACGATGTATGGTGAGGTAAAGAAGCCTTCGTTAATTGAGAAACAGAAAAGTAGAGAAGATAAAAAGACAAAAATAGAATAGTGATACCACTGAACTCCATACTGGAAAGCGACGTGCTATTTAAAATGTGGAATGACAAAGAGGGCATCACGTGATCCTTGTCTTTCTCTTGTAGGCCTTCTTTTTTAATGGTACAACCGTCAAAAGTTTACGGTGGCAACGGTGTCGACTATATACATATATATACATACATGTGGTATCAACTAAACTTTTAGAAGTGATTATACTATCAAAAATGAAGATTTCGATAGCCTAAAAAGAAAGGAAATTAAGATCACGCAATGCCGTTTTTATCATCCCACACGTGTACGCCAGGCTTATATAAAAATATGTATAGAAGTAGGTCATATAATGCTATCTCTGCCTATCTTTTGACGACTTCCACTCTTAACATTTGGTCTAGGTATACTATATATATATGAGGGCACAAGCAAAATCCAGCGTAGACCGTAAGTAGACGTGACCTGAGACAGTCGTAAAGGCACTGCGCACCATATTCACTCGATATTATAAGGGAAACGGTTAATATCCTCTGCTAACTAAATATCCTCGTTATTTGAGTGCCGTGAAACAATAGTGGACCCAACCCGATACATCTTATTTGATAGTCTATGCAGAGACAATATA